AAAATCTCAGTTATGGTACAAGAGAATATAGTTTTACTGGTTGCATGCAGGATTAAACAATGACTTGCTCCACATGCTGGTAACTAGGTACAAGGTAGCTCTCTTCAAAAAAAAAAAAAATCTTTATCTTGTGCAGGAAAAAAGGTGAAAGGCCAGCCTGAGCCATAAATGAATTTTTCCCTCAGTCATATAGCTCGGAATGGGTGGAGTTTGCCTGCTGGCTGGTGTGTTGGCAAAAATAAGAATCAGTCTAACACACTAGATAAAATCATTCTTGTTACCTAAACTTGTGAAGAGTTTGTACTCCTTTGCCAAATCAAGGAATAAGTTACTTTTTAAAATTTTGCTAGATGATAATTTTTCAGCATAGTTCAACTCAAACCGATGCTGATTTTTATATTACAAATGTGCATGAAAGGTTGATAAGCAAGTTGGTTAGAGTAATAAAAATTGAAATTTAAACACAAATAAAAATGCATCTAAACTATTAAGTTGGTGGCATTAGCAATAGCACTTGAGAGCCAAGCTTTCTACTGTGGAAAATAAAATACTACTTGATATCATCATAAGAATAAATTTTACAAGTGTGATTACCTCTGTACTATTCAAAGCAATGAATGCATATAGGGGATTGGACTAAAGAGAAGATACAGGAAGAAAGAACCATGTTCACAGCTGATTAAGGACAAATGTCAAAAGTTAATGAACAAGCTAGTTTGAAAAATATCTAAACAGAGAACATGGGAATAAAATCCTTGGTTCAAAATGAAATAAAATGAAATGAACAGTTGTACAACTGCTAAAAGGATATAAAAATGTTAAAGGTTTTGATACAAGATGCCTAAAATGTGTGTATGTATAGAAATGTACAAATGTACTTAAATCCAAGAAATAAAGTAACATTAACAGTTTAAATTAAAGGCTATTTTCAAAACTTTTACGTCGGAAAGAAAGTTCAAACTAATGACAATTTTAAGCATCAAGATTTGAACTACAGTGGTTAACACAAGAGTACTGTATACAGTTAATAACCCCAAATGGGATAATATCTATATAACAAGGTCTAAATAGGATCCAGTATTATGAAACATACATTTGGAAGTTTACATTGTTTTGTATTAAGAATCCAATGAGATTTTCATATTTTTCTTCCACATTCCAGATTACACATACAGTCTCCCCAGTATTGTTTATACTTTGAATAAGAAATATACCAGGCTTCTGTAGCTACCCAAACTTTCATTACTGTACATACAATGGACTCTAGCTATCCTTCCCTCGCTTATCCAAATTCATATCTCAGTTATATGATGAAAGGGAAAAAAGTTTACAAATGTGAACGTCACGTGGAAGATACAGATCAAATAATGTCACATATATATACAAACTCTTCTTTGGGAGATGCCTAAACCACCTGGAAATATTTATAAAATATGTTCTTGGATTGTGTAACTGAAACATTGTGGTACAGAGTGTCAGATAACCTTCACCTGTAAAAATAATTAACTATATTTGGGGTTTATACTTCAAATAATCTTAATCATATTTTTGTTAGACTCACATCATGTCTTTTATCAAGGAATTCAAGGCAGCTTATAGTTTTCATTTTAACCCTATAACAATAAAACTTAGGAAGTAAAGTGGCTGAAATAAAACAGACACAAAGTCACCTGGGATGTTTCTATAAATGAAATTTATCTGGAAACTGGATTTCTGCAGTTCTAGTTCACTACCTTAACCACTATATCACATATAAAGCACACAAAAATCTTGCAATCTGTCAACAGATGACAGCCAAGGGTAGATGACATTTAAATTAATTACAATGCAACATTCACTCCTTTGGATATTGAGTCACCCTGCAGATCAGGGTGAGAAGGGCCAATATTTACTGTCATCAAATGTAGTGATTGCCACCCATTTAGATTATTTTGAAAGGGAACCAATTCATGGTCAATGCAGCTGTCAAAGGATGCTAGTCATGAGAACTCTTTGATAGATTGCATATGTTGAAATCCAGTTGCTAGGGAGCAACAATGGAAAGCAACAATCCCTCTCTTTCCCTCTCTCGCCTACATACACACACACTCTGTCCATGAAACTAAGATCCCAAATGCATCTGGTTCTTCAGAAATGCTGAACTATACAAGCCATTTGCCTGCTCCAGCAGGGCTGTTCTTAGGCTAGATTCCTAGTATTTCTGAATAGTCAAAAGTAATAAAATTAAAGATAAATGATTGTTTTGCACTTGTTATACCTTTCATCCTCAGAATTCATCATCTTCTATAACATATGAATGTTAACTGGTTACCTTTGAGAAAGTGCTGGTGAGTTAAGAGTTCCTCAGATATAGGTTAATTTGTATCATGTAATTCAAAATGCTTGGTTCAAAAATACAATCTGGACATTCTTAAGACTAAGGAGGGAGAGAAGATTCTTCCATCTCACTGCATCTTACTTCAGTCTAATTTTCCCCATTATAATTGAATATGGGATAAACTTAAATAGCATTGCCATTATATTTTAGCTAAATAATTGTATTGTCTTGAAAGAAAAATATTGATCCATGTGATTATTTTGAGCACTAAATTATAATTTAAATGGGTCATCTTCAATGTATATGGCCCAAAGAAATTATCCACTCAGGCTTTTTAAATTAGGATTCAGTTCACCTTCTACCTCAAACCAGTATATGGACTTAGGTTTGATTTTGCAAATAATTCAAAAATCAAAATAGATCCCCGAAACTAAGGATATCTGTAGTACATCTTATGGTAGCTGAAATTTGCAACTCTTAATATACCAATTGCATCCATCCACCACTGAAATTTGCTTGCATTGGTGGCTAATGTAAGGAAAAGACAAAAGTGAATATTATAGGACATATCAAATTGTTGATACTACTGTCTATCTTTTTCTCTCTATTTCTGTCAAGTAGAAACATGACATAAAATTAGTATGTTGCATATTACAGGCCTACCATCTGGCAATAGTGAGGAAAGCCACAGTGTAATCATGCCAAATGACTTATTGTGTTTTACTATAGATGACAGCCAAAGGTAGAGTCAAAGAAATGTTCTTTACAACATTTAATTCCACCCTAGATTTATTTGGCTGTGGGTATGTGTGTGTGGGTGTATTCTTTTGATTATGGATGTAGATATGGCAATTTTGTAATGAAATGACCGAGTTCAAATGATTTGTTTCACCTGTCTGTAAATGGTACAAATGATATGCTTTATTTTAAAGATACTGTTTTAGTATTGATGCCAGTTAATTCTTGAGAAGAGCTTTGGAATAGTTTACTCCTGCTTGTGACTGAGTGCAAACAAGTTAAAAATCCAAAAAGGTATGTATTTATTGTTTGAAATAATTTAAGATTTATTGCCAATGGTCTATTACACTTATTATGCAACCTTATATAATTATTAAATGTATTGTTGCATCATCTTTTCACATAAAAAAGACTAGTGAGGAATCATGGACATTAGTTATTTTTTTATTGCATTTATAATCTCCCTTTTCTCTGAAAGCTCAAGATAAAGCACATGAGGATCTCTCTCTTACTGTATCTCCAAGGCATGATAATTGAGACCAAGAGATCATAGTAGTACTACACAAAACAAGTTGTTTTACCATTGTTTGCAAACCAAGTGATTGGGTTTACATAATGCCAAGCCAAAACTAAAGCATGTTTTGATTTACTCTGACATGTGAACCCAAAACTGGCCTTAAATACCCCAAGGAACTAAAGCCATATCCAACCAATTCCTACCTACTTTCCACCTCAGGTAGTACCTGTGGTTTATACCATAGTATTAGAAGTAAATCAGACTGCTTTACTTCTTCAACAAACTATGGTATGAACCTAAGTCTCCATTTAAGTCAAATCTCTACATTTTGACAGTAGAATTAATTTCATAGCAGTTTCTGTATTTATTATTCTCCATTCTCAATTGGAAATATCTGCTTGGTATGATTCTCATTTCATTGCTAATACACTTCAATTGCTCATATAGCTTAATCAACAGCAAAGGACTTGTAATTTAGATTGTTCCAGGACAGACATGTAGTGAAGCTGTGAGAAGATGACCTTAAGTTGTAGGCTGCGGATCCTACATGCTATGAAGGACAGGATTTTGGATCACAATGAAGGGTATACTGTAAAGTCATTTGAAAACCTTGCCTAAATTAAAGAAGAAGGCTGGGCTGATAACTCCATTTTGCACACCAATGCCCCTGCATTGCAGCTTGATATAAAAGTAAAACACTACATATATTTCTAATAGAAATAGCATTTCCTGGATATCAGTAATAAAATCAAAGTACTGCTTCTGCTGCTTACTCAGCCATAGATATTACTTAATTAGCCAATAAAAATCAAAGGTAATGCTATTCTTATTTTGAAAGGGCCATAAAAATAAAGAAATCATTTAATGACTGAGGCAAACAGCAGATTTAACATAACATCTGTATTAACTTCCCAGTTTCTCTTCAGTTCTCATGGAGGTTTAAAAAAAAAATCTAAGATATATTTCTTAATGTACTTAAACATAGAACTGCTTTACAAATATTCAATAACTTTTAATTAACCAAAGCCATTTATTTTGCTTATATTTCTCTTTGACCTTTATGTGTTCAAAGAATCTGAGAGTTATATTGCCTTCCCATCTTATTCAATAAGAAATAATTTTTCAGCATCAGAGAAAATACCACCAATCCTAGAAATAAAATAAAGAGGAGAGGAGAACAAAGGGAGGAGAATTGTAGATTTGATCAAAACTGAATCGGGACAGATCAGAAATAACATTCTTGCTGCAGTATTCGGATTTGTGCAGGTTTTCTGCCAAGAGGTGATATTGTAAAAAAAGAAAAGAAAAAGATGCTAACACCAGTAGGACAAGAGGACAAGGGGGGCGGTACAATCTGGCATTGATGCTACAGAATAAAGATGCAACTGATAGTATGGACAACCAGATTAATGATACCGTATTTTTCCTGACATGAGGACGGGTGAGCAGAGCTTTTAAATCGTTTCCGAGAAAATGGCTCTGGTTATATTAGAAGGAGGGTAAAATGGTGTGTGGTGTAAGATTGTGTTAAGGGCCAAACGTTGGGTTAAGAAACTGTTTTTATGGAGATCACTTAATGGGTTCAACATGCTCCACCCGGCAACTCTGTGAGGTTGGCTGAGAACTAATGACTTGGCTACGATTCCGCAATGAACTTCCGGGCTGCGGACCGGGGCTGGGCTGAACGCTGGTCCCGTAAACGCCAGCTATATCCAGGCGAGTTGGTAGAACTCCTCTGGAAAGAAAAAAAAATGCCGAAATGCCCAGGCTAGTTTAGAAAAGGGACCCCATCTCTCCCAACGGCGTGACTTTCCGACCCTATCCCAGGACGGGCTCCTTTCTTTCCCGGGGGGCGAAAAGAACCGGCTTGATTACAAAACAGTGACGTCCAGAGGAGCAGCGCCGGCCCCGCAGTGAAGACGGTCACCCGAGTCCAGGGGCGACTCAGGCGCAGCGCTGGCTTCGGCTCCCGCGGAGGGGCCAGGCGGGGCGCGGCTGCACCTGTCCGCTGGGCGTCCCAAGCCCGCCCCTTCTCTCCGGTTCCTCTGCAGAGCGGCGGCCGGCCGGCGGCTCTGCCCGCCGAGCGTCCTGCCACGCCTGCCTCTCAGTTCCCACCCGGAGCGAGCATGGCCGGCCTGATCGGCAGCCTCTTGGGCTCTCAACCCGTAGCTGGGTTCCAGCGCCGCTGCGGGCTCTTCCCCCGGGGCGAGGAGCCCCGAGCTCAGGCGGTGGGGAACGGTAACCGCCCCCTGACTCCGCGGGACGTCCGCAACGGGCAGCGCCCGGGCGTGAGTCTGCCGACCGACTGCGCCACCTGCAACGGCAGCCCCGGGGACGGCTGGAAGGTAACGCGCGCAACGGGGGCGGGATGCGAGAGGAGCCGGAGCTCAGTTTGCAGCCCCGAACCCAGACCGCTTCCTCCGGCTGTCCTGTATACTGTAACGCCGTCGCCCGGTGGGGCTTGGGGAAATGCCCGCTTTCTTAACCAGGTCAGTTATCGGAAGGCGAGCAAGCAGGAAGTGTTGGCAGCCCTTAAAAAAAGTCTCTTGCCCAGCCATGCCTTCCTACATGCTGTAGATGCTTCCCTCCTGGAAGCAGGCTGACTTCCTGTTACTGAAAGGGCTTCGGGGAGACAGGAACAAAATTGCAGACCCGCTACTTTAGGGACACAAATCTGAACAGCTGTAAGTACTACACTCTTCACTCTTCATCAGTACTACTACTCTACAGCCATGGTTCTCCCCCACCTCCCTCCTTGAATTGTTCAGTCTTGGGTAAAGATTTCTGGAGAACTGAAAAGCTTGCCTACACATACCAACATACACAAATGCAAGCTTTTGAAATATATTCCCCCCCCCCCAAATGATACCCGCAATAACTTTCAGAAGTGTTTTGATCTTTGCCCAAATGTTGTAGCTTTCTATTTTGCATCTAGATGATTTACAGTAAATGTTTACTTTCAACATTGCTTCTTATAATAATTTGACCTTAACAAAAATGGTGGTGGCAGAATAAGGATTAAATGAGCTGGTGAATTCAACAGTGGTAGCAATGATGATGATGGTATTTGCAGTGTAAAATCAATAGGGGACAGCAGTTCATTCAAATATATTGCAGTAGCTTGAAAAAAATTCAGTTACAAATTACCTCTGACATTAAGATTTCCAGGTTATTGGCAAAAGTTCTTAGTATGCCTTTATATTTAGTAAACAGGCATAAACACATCCTGAAGTTTTGCATCATGCTCAGCATGTTGTGTGCAACCAGCCTTTGTGATTTGGAAACCACGATATATGGCTTAGTGTCATGCTTGTCAGAGGCTTGGATCTCATGAAATTGAAGGGAAAGCACTCCACACTATACAGTTCAGAATGGACTCTACCACACAAACTTCCCCAACTTTCACACCTTCCAAGATTTTTCAAGAAATTCCCAGGATTTCCCAGGCAGGTTTTTCCTAAGATTTCTGAGAGATGAAGTCAACAGATCTGGAGGATTCATAGAAGAGAGAAGCTTTACAGGAAACAAAGGAATAAAACCAGCATCTTTCTATCTGTAGACTTTCACCAACTTATTTTACCTTAGATTCTTTATACTGTTAATATAATTTTCTGTTATAGAAAGTAGTAAAGAATAGAGCAGCTTTGTTTTGTTGTTTTGTTGTTCTGCAACTGTTTAAGGGTGATAGGTCCTCCTCTTAATGTTAAGTCAGAAAATATTGTTGCTGAGTATTGCAACAATATTTGTTTGCAATATTTGTAATAATATTTTGTTTTTCATAAAACCTGAAATTTGTTTACAAGTGGTGGTGCTCAGGGAGGACTGTTATGCAAGTGTTCAGTGTACCATCTATTTAGCATCAATAGGAGTAACATATGTTCTAATGCAGGGATGTCAAACTGGCAGCCTGTGGGCTGGATACATCACGCACAGGCCATGCCCACGCCAGGTCCACAAAGGCAAAAAATGCCACAATATGTCACGTGACACGATCGAGTTTGACACTTGTGTTCTAATGTATTTATTTTTTATGAATATTTTATTCTGACTGACTTGATAAATGGGCTACTTGTGACCCATCCCCAAATCTCTGCCTTATGGACAAGAGCATATCTATCTATCTATCTATCTATCTATCTATCTATCTATCTATCTATCTATCTATCTATCTATCTATCTCCAGGTTGTTCTTTCCTTCTTTTCTTCTAAGTTTGACCCATCCTATTCCTATTACTTTTTCTTGGATTTCTGAATTAGTTCATTTATTTCTCTGTTGAACTTTTCTTCTCCAATTCTTCATATTGACCTTTTTTTTTCATTTTTCTGTTGTTGTTGTTGTTGTTGTTGTTGTCTTGTGTCATTTAAATCAGCCATGCAAGTCATTTTTCTTCTAGAATGATCTTCTCTCCCACATAGTTCAAACATGCTAATCTCTTTATTGTTTTGAAAACAATTAACCTGAATTCCATCTACTTTAATGAGTACCTGTAAAAATTTTCTCAGGACAGTGAGGACAATTAACCAGTGAAACAGCTTGCCTCCAGAAATTGTGGGCGCTCCAACACTGGAGTTTTTTAAGAAGAGTCTAGACAGTCACTTGTCTGAGATGGTATAGGTTCTCTTGCTTGAGCAGAGGACTGGACTAGAAGACCTCCAAGGTCCCTTCCAGCTCTATTCTATTCTATTCTATTCTATTCTATTCTATTCTATTCTATTCTATTCTATTCTATTCTCTCTAATATATCTTGGTGTTTGTCTTTCATTTGCCTTCTTCTTTCTTCCAGAATATGATATTTTCTCTTCTCAGTATGTTGGTTTAGAACAGTAAATGGCAAATCCAAACAGCAAATGTTAACAGAGAGGCAGAGTATGCTTAATTTATTCTTTGCAAAGAACAGCTCACCCATTAGAATTATTCTGAAAATTATGTACAATGGATCAAAAGGAGAGAAAAAAAAATTCATAACCTTTTTAGTATGTAATTTGTATGTCTCCAACATTCTTAGGCGCATTCTTCTGTCAAAGTCAGTGGGGAAGACAGATTCACTTAACAACCATGTTACTACAGTAAATTAACAGTTGCAGTGATTCACTTAACAAATGTGACAAGAAAGGTTATAAAATGGAACAAAATTCACTTAACAACTGTCTTAGCAATAGAAATATTGGGCTCAATTGTGGTCATAACATGAGGATTACCTGTACATGAAAATGTATGTAATATGTCTGCAGTTTCCATTTTCTGCTGGTCCTATTTGAATATATTTTCAAGGTTTGACCACTTTTTGTGAGTCATATACATTCCTGTCACTTTCCTGTCTCTAGAGTCTATTGTAGTTGGGTAGCTAATAAATATAAATAAATATAAATAAATCTTAAGTAATTATAAATAAGTGAGTATATTTAAACAAATAATGATAGTACAGTCATATAAATAAATGGCAGCTTCCCTTAGCTGAGCTCTGATATTAAAACTGGAAATGAAAAAAATAAATGTGAAGATTAAAATTTTGAGAAAATCTGGCCCCTCACTTGGCCCATTTGTTAAATCTATGGATGGACAGGGACATGAGTATAGATTTTGCTGGCATAGGTAGTTATTCTGGAAAGCTACTGTTCCATTCGAACTATGGCACTTAGGTACTGGTTATTAAGCACTTCTAGATTTTTTAGCTGATCTACTTGTGTTGCTATATCAAATATTTCACAACACTTATAATATCCTGAAAGGGTCCCAACAATGCCATGGAACTTTCAAAGAAAAGAACTGAAGCCTTTATTTTCAAAAATCGTAAATATTTTTTTTAAATCCCCTTTTCATCTCTATGGGTGTATTAGCTCTTCCAGGTAAATGAGACAGAAAACGTCCTAGAATTTACATGAGCTAAATCTACATTATTGGAAGGCTACTTCAACAGAATCTTGCAAATCAGAAGGTACAAATCTCCTGCCACCATGAGGGCAAATCCTTCCTTCCTTGTTTCTCTGTTAAATCCTTGGGGGCTCCTCCTCTTGTCTGATCATTTCTTAGGCAGTATTTTTTTCCCTCATCCCCCAGGATTATCCATACATTCCATTACATTTATCCATGATCATAGGTCTCATATCAGTTACTGTGCTCTGTAATTGGGGGAACAGTGATGATGTTCCAACTTCAGGAATTGGCTGAGCATCCAGTTGCTCATTCAGGTTTTTTTTAGTCTGGGATATAATGTGAAGCTGATTGATTTCAAGTTGTGAATACAGTTATCTCTTCAGTATGTTGAGGTGTTGGGTAACTAGTTTGTTTATCTTCTGTTCATCCATAGTTCCTGTGTACAGTCCATATATCATATTACATTAGGCCTGCTTATGTAGTAGCATTCTATTACTTTCAGTTTCCTTGTCTTGTCCAAGTATGGTTTGTTCCAGTAGCCCACTTATTGTCAGATTATCCTGGTTTTCTATCACTTGGCCTAAACCTGGCTTATCCAGGTAATGTCTGAGCTGGCATGACTCTCTTAGCTAATATCACTCTCATATTGGAGGCAGGCAAGTACGCATTAAGGGAGGGAGGTCTTTGTCTAAGGACCCCTACTGGTAAGGTAGGTACCAGCAGGGATTTGAACCCTGGTGTACCACATGAGAGGCAGCACGCTAACCACTACACATCCAGCTGCAATAAATCACACAAACACACACAAATACATAAAAGAATCCTATTTCAATCCTATAACATTGTGTTATTATTGCCTTCAGCAGTTTATCTAGAGTATTCATTTGAAAACAAAATTATAGTTAATTTAAAAAGGAGGAAGGGAGGGAGGGAGGGAGGAAGGAAGGAAGGAAGGAAGGAAGGAAGGAAGGAAGGAAGGAAGGAAGGAATAACTGATTCATTTTCTCAAAATGGCCTTGTACTTATGGGCTTTCTGTAAGTCACATTCTTGTGCATGGATGATCTTTCTTTGATCATATGAAGGCTGGTGTCTAAATAATTTAAGCATGGTATTATACAGAGTGCTTTCCACATCCTCACTTTTTTTTCCTATTAAGAAAATAATCTGTTTTCCTGACCCACATAAATACTATCACTGTTCTAGTACCATCATCCTATTCTGTAACTCTATTCTTAATACTTTTATTTTCTTTATTTTTTATTAAATGCTGGTAGTCTTCGACTTACAACCATTTGTCATTGTTCAAAGTTACAGTGGCACTGAAAAAGTGGCTTATGATGTTTTTCACACTTATGACCATTGCAGCATTCCTGAGGTCATGTGATCAAAACTCGGACGCTTGGCAACTGGCATATATTTATGATGGCTGCAGTGCCCTGAGTTCATAGGAACACCTTTTACGACCAAGA